TCGGTGCAAAATCAAATGATTTTCGCCTGTCTGTGCAAATGAAAGTTAGTGGCCGAACTATGATTTGATTTTTCTACTCTTGTTGGTTTTCTGTGAAGTGGATCTAGGCAAAGTAAATACAAATAATTTCGAAAAGCAAACTAATGCATAGTATACACTGCGTATAAGTGCTTTCTTTTTTAAATTGGTTGTGGTCTTTAATTTTCTTTTCTAAAAATATCCAAGGTCCAACGCTGCTACTCACTAACTTCGATATTGATTTTATCATAAGATTCCAAAAATAAATTTAGATATCCTGTTAGGCAGCTCACCTTAAATAGCAGAAGCAAATAAGTCTGGTTTTGGAATGAACAGACGATGCCTTACCTATCAGGTCATCAAAATTAAATTTAATTGACATCTCATTGAACCCGGCTTGCTTTTCAATTATTTCTGCTGTCTACCGCAGAAGCGTCCAAACAAATGTCAAACGATAAACATCGTTCGTGCATTGCCGACAGATCGAGTTGGCTGGAAATTTAATTTGTAATTTAATAAGCTTGCCTGCAATTATGCAAAATAAATAAATTAGAAATCATGCGACGAATGGACAACTTCGTCGACGTGGGGGCATGAGTGCGATGAGTGGGGCGCTCGAGTAAACAAACTGCAGACTTAATCCAATTAATGTCGAATTTAAATGCTCGAGACGATTTGGCGCACAGTGACAGGCTGCAAAGTAGGAGCTCATCTCAACTCGATTGGCCGATTGAGGGGCCTGCGGGGACAGGGGCTAAAGGCGGCAGGACATCGGGGAAGCTGGAGCCGGCGATTCACATTTCAGCTTGCAGCCACAACCGCATCGTGTACAAGTTACTCCTGGGAACGTGGTGGAAAAAGGAAACTTTTTCTGCGACGTAGATAGTTTTTGCTAACAGCTCATGTGTGTGTGGGCGGAGCAAGGGGCGTGCCGGCATAGAGACTCTATACTCTACTCGGCACGTAGACAGCCTCTCACTCAGGTCATGCACTGAGAAAAATATAAAAATAAAGAAAACTCTTGAATATCATTTGGTTGCACTGGGCATTTTAGTTCTATAATGATGTTGAAAGCATTCTTTAATGCAATTAACAAATACTAGAGAAATTTTATTGTGGAAATATTATATTTTAAAAGGCCATGCATAACTATTTAAAAAGATAAAAATCTTCTTGGGATTATAAAAATAATTGTATAGTTTTGGGGACACAAGATAGGATTTCAAGAACGAAACAGGTAATTTTAAAATCTAAATTTTGTTATTAACAAATCCCCATAAAAGCCACATAGCTTAAAGCATTTTGTTAAGCCTTTTTTTTGTTATCCGAAACAAATACAACTTATCTTGATCTTAAAGGCCATTGTCGAATAAGGTTTTATGCCAAAACTTTTACCAAATGTCTTCAACACGTGATTAGGAATTAGTTTCTCAGTGTGCGTGTGTGAGGGGTGGGAGGATACGTAATGCGTCATGTTCGAGTTTATCGCTTGGGCCCCGAAATTGCCATACTGGGTGGAAAAGAGCAGCCAGATAGCCTCTATCCGAGTGCTGGGTTGACGGGACGTGAGTCGAACCTGGTCGTCTGACGGCCGGGCTGTGGCCAGAGCGGAGCTCACGGGGATTGGGGATCGGGGATCGGGCCGTGGCCAATGTCGGTGGCAACTTCTCTCAAACTGACAGCCCGGCGAAAGGGGACTTGGCTGAGCATGTGCCAATATGCTGTTAGTAATGGAACCGCAAATTGAACCAACCAGGGTGGGCGAAAGCGGAAACGGAAGCAGCCAGCTGGCCGCCTGCAATTTGCAACCAGAGACCTTTTGAGGTACGAACAACTGGAATGCCTCCTCATCGCTTTGATTCACCGATTGGTGGTCGCCAAAAACATATTTAATGCATTTGGCTGGCGATCGTAATTAGATTTTCCTTTCATTCAATTCAAATTTTACGATTGAGTGCACAAAATCCAACGCAAAAGCGCAACGATTTAAATTCTAGTTTGGTAGGAAACTAAATGCCGGAAAAGCGTTCGTGGCTTTTGGTTTTTGGGCAAAAGAAAATCGACACAGCTATATTGTTTGTTATAACAACATACATATTTAATTTTAACATATAGAAAGTAGCATATAGAAAGTAGCATACATTTTTAATTTTAACATATGGATACATAACAAATAGATTTTCCCAAACGCAAACTTTTCGCTTTAAGAAACACTAAAATGGGACTTCATAAAAAGTGAAGGCTTTAAGTTTCAAATTATGCTTACCCGGACTACTCTAAGCATACTTGCATGCTTGGTTTTCGTTTTTATTTTATTCCTACTTGTGATTTCATGCGTTGAAAAATATTTTTACAATATTAAATTCATTTTATTTTCTTTATATTTCAAATAAAATTGTATGCAAGTTTTAATAGACATTTTCACCTCTATTCCCAAAGTTATAAGTTTGTGAGATCTTAAAATATACAATACGTCTTTGAGTGCCTCTTTAATTTTATTATTAAAACAGTTTTGTTACTTTGTGCCAGTGAGTGGCAAAGAAAATGCAATCGACTTGATAACTATTTAGATTTCATTTCAATTCGATTCAAATCAATCGAACGTATGCACAGAATCCATCACATGTGCTCACGCATTTGATTTTGGGCGGAAACTAAATGGCGGAAAAGCGTCAGCGAGGCGTGCTAATTCACCGGGTCGAACGCGTCCCGTTAGTCGGAAATGCGCCCGTTCACATGCTCGGCTGCCCCTGAGTTTCCTTTTGTATCCGCCTGTCTCAGTGGTTGCGGCCAGTTTGGCTCACCTGACGCACCTTCCTCAACCGACTCACCTTCAATTCCTCCGGCATACTGCACACGGACGCACCCTTACGCACACAAACGCACCCGGGTCACAGCAATTGTCGTCCTGTGGCTGCTTTGTTTTCGTCCTTGCCACTTGACTTTTGCTTTGCTTTTTACTTGTGGCATCCTACTGTTGCGGTTGCCCTACACTTTGAAAAAAATATTTCGAATTAAATTAATTATGTTTACATTGAGAATAATGAGTTCATTTCATAGTTATACTTGAAACTTAATTAAAAAAAAACTTAAAATATTAATAAACCCGCATTGTGGTTCACTTCATTCAGTTTTTTCATGAAAGCTTAAAAAAACGTTGTTTTTAATTGTGTTTTTTCATTCATTTATAAATGCGATATTTATACATTAAATGTTAAAGAAAACCGCTTATATTTAAAACAATTAAAATTGTTTTTTTTTGCATTAATATAAATAGCTTTTTTTTCTGGCTCATTAAATCGTTAGTGAATTATTTTAATGCTCTAGTCATCGAGGGCATTCAATTTGTATTTACCAAAAAAATTTATAATTAAAAAAAAGCATTATTCCAATTAAAATGTGCCAATCTTTTAAGTATCGTTAATATTAATAATTATAAAATGTTTTCTCTGCAATTGCTGGTAAGTCGTTAGTTGGCCACATATTATTTTTGTGTGTAGCAAAGGGATTGACCATTCTTTGCTGTTGTCCCGGCAACAGGATTTATGCAAAACGATTTTATTTTTATCTCCGGTATCCAACTTGAGTCCTTGTCGTTCTTTTGTCGATTGTTAGCTTAGTGGGTTCGCGTGGCTTAAAATGTTGGTCCAGCTGCTCGGCCACTTTAATCACTCAAATGCTCGTGGCTCATAAAATTAAATGCTCTGCTAATGCCGGGGTCTCAAAAAAGCTGTCAGTAGGCTTGGCCGAAAGTAAGCCATCGACACGAAAAACAGGGCCTGGAAGTTGTAAATGTGCTGAAAAGCAAGATGAATTGCCGGTTATTATTGCCAACTTCATTTGCTATGCACTCAAAACGAGGGGCTAACTGGGCCAAGAGTCTCTAAATGAGGGCCATCTTCAAGATGCAAAACGAAATGAAGGGGGGCTCTAAATTAAACCCACCTCCCCTGATGGTCGGCTGCGTTACAAATGAATATTAATTATGTATGGCATGCTAATTCAGCGAATCCATTAATCACAATTATAATTTATGCTGTTGTTTTCACCTTTTTACCTGCATTCATTTTCACATTTTTATCGAACTATTTCCACAGCCACTTGGCTGCCCGTTTGCCTCATTAGCATTCGCATGGATAATAGAAATTTAAGTTGTAAAATCAATAAAGTGCCACATTAATTATTACAGCAACAAAAATAATAGCAAGGACAATGCAATCACGCGACACTAATAAATCCCCGGGGTTATGTACAAATCTGCGAATAATTAATGTGTGAACTCGAAATGGCATTTGGAATGGCTCATACCATTATGGTTATTATAATTGCATGAGGGGCTGCTGAGAGGGTCTTATTTGTATTACGATTAGATTTAGCCAAAGGTTATCATAATCTCAGCTCATTAATAAAACAAATTCCAAAATTATTATGCTAAAATAATAAATTTCTGGGAGTTATACGAATTTGATTAAAATAATAAATTGCTATGGTTACTCCTCCCTAAAAATTTGTTCAGCTATTTATGTTAGCCAGAAATAAATAAAACAAAATAGAAAAAGGGCATTCACCTTTCAGTATTTGCCTTATTACACACCATCAGGAGCTGTTTTTAAACAGCATCATAATTTTATTTATGCTAGAGTAGTTTGACAAATGAATTTTAAGAACTTCCTGCTGACTTTTGCCCAATCAAAATGTGCATAATTTGCATTTTGCAATTTACATTTGCATTTGCAAAGATACAGACGGCTACTTGTACGCCTTGACACTGGCAGCATAATTGTTCAGTTTACTTTTCATATTTATTATTTGATTTTCTGCCATTTTATTATCCTACCGAACACAGATTTCCGTTTAAAAAAGGGAAATTGTAAATATTTTCCCGTGTCACAGTTTACTTTATTTTCGTTTGGCAATTATTCAGCTGTTCGCTTCAATTTCAATAATTAATTGAACAAATTGTACTTCTCTCTCGATTGCAGTTGAACAGTAGACAACGTCCTCCGATATCTGGATTTTATTTGTGCTGCAACCAATGACAACATGCTGAAACCGTTGGCCGTGATTATTGGAATTTTTTATTTAGGTGAGTCCTTCGGAAGTCCTATCTCCACCAATCGGTCGGCGTGTATTATTAATTACACTCGTTAAATTGAATCTCGACATGCGAAATATGCGAGCGAACGAAAGTTAATTAATCACATTTGCCGGCAAACGATTTGTGTTCAAAGTGTTTTTGCTCATTAAGTCGATTTAATACGACTCGAATCGCGGCGAGTGGCATATACATTTTTGATGGAATTTAAGTTTTTTAATCTCTCGAAATAATACTATTAATTCTGTTCGTGGCATTTAAATACTTACGGAAATTTAATTTAAGCTTGCATTTCATGTTTTACAGTTTGGGGAGGGCTGTAAAGGTGGTTGGTAAATGGGAGTTCACTTATATGCACTGCTTACTCTATCAGTTCATGTCAAACTATTAGTTAAAGCAGTGCAAAATAATGTTTACTCCCCAGCAGTGTGTCCTTTAAGAAGCTTTCAAAACGTATTCAATAAAGCTTTTACCACAACAGTCCTGTGCTTTAAGCTTTTGGGTTTCAACAACGTTTGTGTGTACCTTAATAAAGCTTTGGCATTTATTTTCTGTGTCTAAATAGAAAGCTGTAAAGCTGTACTAAAATGTAAGTCTTAGCTAATGGTTGTTTTAAATTTAAAACGCTGTTCTAAAGTAGATTTGAGCTTTTGAGCTTTTTTACAAAGCCCCTTGTCTTATATAGACAGCAACCATTGAATAAAACAATGTATATTAGGTGTATACTCGTATTATATAATTTTACATAAGATCCTGTAAATGGATTGTCAATTTAATTTATTTAGAAGTTCATAAATACCAGGTACTTTTATCAAACAAATCGCAGCTACGCATAACTTTAATCGCACTTCAATCGTCGGTCCTTTGCGATTAGAAAGCCACAAAGGCAGCAGTAAAAACCAACACATAACGGCGAACTATAATTATGTTTATCTTAATTATATTGCGTGACGTAAGTTTCTTATTAACCGGCAACAAAGTCACAAAGTCAGCAACAATTTACCATGTTTATGGGCGGCGGGGCCAAAGCCCCAAGGAATTATTATTATATGCAGGTGGCCCAAGGGTCCACCCACAGCCTTTTGGTTCGCGTGAGCAATCAGCGCACGGGTGGGCAAATCACCAGAAAGCCAGGCCACCAAGTGGTCACCACCGAGTGGCGCCTTTGTTCACCTGCTCCTCCTTCTCCACTCTATTTGCATATAAAGAGTGTGATGAGCGCCGGGGGGGCAGGGAAACGCGTTTCTAATGGAGCCACAACAATTGCCAGGACTTCGCTGTTGTTCTTGATTTCTTGCGCCTTGCAGCGCCGAAAAGTATGCTAAGAAATTAAGCACATTGGTCATTTTCATTTGCGTGCCTTTGAGCCGTTTTGAGGCCACATGGCGTATGCGCAATGCAAAGTAAATGCCTCGAGTCCAGCGACACACGCAAAAAAATAAAACTGCACGTCATTACCTTGATTTGTGGCGACTTTTGAACTCCACCCCTTTTGGTTTTTCTGCCCTTACCTTAGCAATACAAATTTCGCGCTTAACGTTAGGCGGTCTCATCATTTATGTTAATCAAAGGCACTCTAAAATTACCCATCGATAGTTCAAGTGTCTTTGCTGGCGATAAATCAAAATAATTAAGTCGCTTTAAATTGACTTGAGTCGCAGTGCTGGGGTCCATAAAGTGACTGGCATTAACCAAACTCCCAAGTGGGGCTAATAAGCTTGAGACAGCGCTAATTTTACCCTCATTAAACAAGCTGACATGCCAGGCCCAGGAGAAGGACCAGATTGGTGGCACACAGGACGATGCCAGCTAACGGTTTAGAGAGCTCAATAAACTCAAAGGGCTGGCCGACGTCCTCCCTTCGCCCTTCGCCCCACTCCCTTCTCCCTTCTCCCTTAACCCACAAAACCCCTGCCACCCTCTATTTCCAGCCCCCCAATTGCCAAGCCGGCAAGCGTCGCCATTTTGGCAGTCATTAACGGCAAACTGCTTCATCATTTAATAACCCAAAAGTGAGCTGGTTAAATGCCGAGCGATGCGATGGGGCTCTTTTGGCCCAAATACTCCCCCACAAAAACGGCGCACAGACATACACAGACAGCAGCTTGGGCTGGCAAGAAAAAAACCCAGAGTGGCACCGAACATGCCACACTTATTTTTATAGATTTCATTTTAACACCGAAAAAGGCAAACGCATGGTAACTTAACCGATGCCGTTCCAGACCCTTTGCCCCTGTCTGTGGCACGCCCCCTCTTTCGCTTGGCAGGCCCGAGACTACATAAAATTGGCAAGGCGTCAAAACGGGCGGCAAAGCAAGAAGGAAAAAAAAAGGGTTCATTATGGCAATTTGCTTAAACTCATGGCGGATGCTCCTCAGTTCTATGGAAATTTCAGCTATTCTTTTTTTCGTAGTGAGTATCTTAAAGCCCACAATGATTTTGGGGGTTAACTGAAAAATGGCGGCATCATTTGTCGCTCTGGCTTTCGTTTCACATTCGCCACACTTGGCGTGTCGACCCGGTTTCATAAAATATAATGAAAAGCAACATTTCCGGGCCCGGCTAATTCCCAACTCCTGTCACCTCGAAGCGGGAAAAGTTCAATGCACTCCCTTTGCATTTCCCTCTCTCCGGAGTTTTTCCAATATGTTTGCTTAGTGTCGCTTGGTTTGGACATTTCTAAAGGGGTTGTCAAGTCCGACGACTTGGATTTATAACATGGTTTCACTGCAGCAGGCAGTACAAAATTTTTAATTGAGCCCCGATGGCAGTGGCACAGCCGACACGCAACTCTTGACCAGCACTCGAGCCTCAATTGGCATTAGTAAAATATTTCAAAAAGCACTCAAGCTACGTTCAGGTTAAATCCTAGGCACCCACTACAAAGAGCCTACACCAGGAAAAACTTGAAAGATAAAAAAGTTGGAAAAAATAATCGAAATACTCACTGACGCTCACGATTTTTAGGACAACAAATTTTTGGTACCTTTGCTTTATATCCAACATTAAAAAATAATTTAAATAAATTAATTATTATCTTTTAATTCATGGTTTTCCATGGTTAAAAATCTCATCTTTAGTCATTTATTGTATTGTGCTATGTACTACAATATATAACTTCAATACAACATTCCTGTCACATATTGAAACAAGGGTTGATAATCTGGGCCTAAGTTTTTCAGTGGAGCACCAATACGTTGTTCGAGTACACAAGTCTCGATGACTATCAATTGGGCGTTCAAAAGCAATCCAATTTGGATCTTTATTCTATTATTTAAAACTTGAACTTTAGAAGACAAAAGAAAATTAAGAATTTAGTCTCGATTTTCGATTGTGATATTTTTCTCCGTTTAGAGCTGTCGTTGCCGTTTGCCCAGTTGTCGTCGCTGTGGCCGGAAGTCCTTGCGGTGGCAAAATGGATGGAGAAAGCCGCCTGGCGTGTTGAGTTTTCATTTTTCGTGCGTGCCTAATTATATTTGCGTGAGCATGACCAATTGCAAAGGCCTTGGTCTCTGGCCGACTTTAAAGCCATTTAAATGGATATTAGCATAGACGCATCATCGGCGGGTGACAAGTGACATGTGTAGGCGTCGCTCGATCTGGTCGCCATCACCGTGTCCTTGGGTCCGCCATGTTGACTTTATTGTCGGCAATATGATTTGTCACCTCGCAGGACATGGCAAACAGACAGCGGGAAAACCTCCTGCCTGACAGATGGGTGTCCGCCAGCGAGTGGAGTCCACTTCACAGGACATGGCGTGTCGGCTTTGTGGTCTCACCCAGCTCGTGGCCGGTGCCTTGATCGATTACCATTACATCCCAAAGCCAACGAAGAGGGACCTTAATGGGTAATAAGTAGATTGCGTGATTGTTCCCAAAACTCGTCGCATTTTGCAGTGATTGCTCACTTTTCGACACTTTCGTCCGATGGCAGACAAAGGTGAAAGGTTAGGGGGATTAGACCCCAAAACCTTCGGACTTCTAGGGGGCGTCGATTAATCAAGTCGGACCAGAGATGTGGATGTGTATGCTTTGGATGGGCGTGCTCCGTTGCGGAACTATTCGTTTGCATTTTCTATTATTATGAAGACATTTCGTGTCGTGTGGCCCAGGTTTTTTGTTTATTTCTGTTTTAGTTATCCCCGTGTTTGCCAAGTAATTAGTGGCATAAGGCAAAAGTTTTTGGAGGCAAATGTGTTAGCATTTGATTTGGAGGCGCTTCCTGAACGGCAGAGATAAACTTCCGCTTAATTTGCATTCAAATTAAGGTCAAAGGCCACACACATTGCCAGAATTTATTCCTCCATTGGCATTTAATCAGTCGAGCGGCCGGGAAATTTACACATTTATCGCTGCACCGAAATCGCTTTCAGTATCCCTTCAATTCGATCTAAATTGTTTTATGCGAGGGACGACCCTGCCGAATATGTTTAACAGATAAAAAGTGGATTCCATTCGATTTCCCTTTTATTTGCTGTGTGTGCTTTGGGGATTTTGAAATTTATTTCCAGACATTCCACGCCGGCAATTATATCACGCTTGAATTTACAATTGTTACGGCTCGTGTTTCTTTGGTTTGCCATAAATTTAAGGCCAGAATGTTTGAGCGTAGCAGGGGTTGAGTGTTTTGGCCAACTTGTTTTGCATGAAAAAGTGTCAACAACAAGCGGCGGGTCCTGCCTCAGGCTGTGACACCAAAGCTGACAACACTAATGAACGAGCGATGGGTGGCACTTGCCACGCCCCCGCGCCCTTTGACCCCCGCCCACCGAATTGCTCTAGCAACTTTACGGCATTTGTTCTATGCAGTTTTCACCTTTCCTTCCCTTGGCATCTTTCTTTTTTTTTTTTTTAGTTTAGTTTTGGTTTTGTTTCTGCCGCCCGCAACTTTGACATAATTCAGGGCAGGGCTGCCAGGCTGGCCAAAAAATATGAAAGTTTGCGGGTGTCGCTGCAATATTCTCTCTCATTTTTTGCCATTTTCCCGTAGT